TTTTTGTAGTTTTATTTAGTACAAAGGGCCCAAAACCCTATTCTAATCATTAAGGCCCCTATATCAAAAAGCGATGATAGTATCCCTTATAGTACGTACTCCTTATCCAGAGCCCTTTAAAGGAGCCATATTCTAATTAATTACTAAGGCCCCTAGATTCGGCTCCAGAGTAGACTGCCCCGAGGCATCATCGAAGGCTTGCTCAGCTACAGCAGCATGACCTCATATCAGGCAGTGGGGGGTCCAAACGGTTTTGCCTCTGAAGCCTAAACTCCTACACTCTAAACCCGAAGACAAAGAACGATTAACTTCGTAATCCAAAACCCCAAAGCCCTCCGCCTTTGAATTAAACAAACAAGAACTAAAGCTTCGACCCTAAATCTTAAACTCCTTGAAAGTAACCATGGCCGCAGCAACTGGGGAATGACGTTGTTCTACAGTATTAGGCCCTCTTGGGGCCCACAAAATAGTACGGCACCCCTTCAAAAAGGGCCCGCAAGGGAACTGCAAACCCAAAGACTCGAACCACCCCCCGTACGAGCGTAAGACTAGAATCGGGTTTGGGCGGGAACGGGGTTTCGCCTTCACAGAGGGCTTTTTGGGAATATGTTGGGGTATAAATACTACAGGGACGATGCAGGGATACTCTTGGCAACTATTCCCACCTGCATATAACCTGAAATTACATGATAGCTCCTACTCCATGTCATTAGATGTTTGTCTCGAGTAAACTGGAGGACCCCCGCCCCCAAACTCACGCCTTAACAGAGCCCCCACTGCCGTTAACCATGGGTATATCTAGGAAAATAGATTGAGAAAGGGCTATTTGCAGGTTCCGGGAACAAGTCTTAACCTGAACCCCTAAACCTTAAAACCTTAAACTCTAAACCTATACCCTAAAACCCTAAACCTTAAAACCCTAAAACCCTAAACCCTTGGACGTGTGCAGACACTCGCCTACCTGCCAGTGGAGTGTTGGCCCATCCGGGCTCTTTCGCTCCTGGCCGGCATGGCATATGATTTCGGCCACTGGTGGGGTAGGGCTGCTGTTGCAAGTGGGGATGTGTGTATCGTATATAGTATAGTATAGTATGGTATAGTGCTGTAAAGGAGCATTAATAATATCCAAAACTCCTCTTTCGGAACTGTTCTACTATAGTAGCCAAGAAACCGTCCACATTACCTACTTAGATTGTTGGTTAGTGCAAGTCCCTACTTGGATCCTTCAAATCCAGAAATCGGTGGGCTTAGGATTTAGGGTTTAGGGTTTGATTTAGGACAGTGTCAGGTTTGGGTGTAGAGTTTTGGGCTTAGGGGTTCGGTTGTTAGTTGTTGGTTTCACTTTGAGGATTTAGAGGTAATTTAGGAAGCTCCTGGTCTTGCAACCCCAAGATAGCAGGATTCACAGGTGGAACCCTACTAAAGGCCGGATTCTTGTAAAGAGCCCTACTAAAGGCCCAAGGTTTCTTAGTCAGATGCCTACATTAGCGATCTGCTGCAAGCGACACCACGACACCACGCGTCGACCATGGCAAGGAACAGCCGCCATAAACCTAGGGTTTGGGTTTTGGGATTTTAGGGAAGACACCAACCCTCAAGAACCTACCTTTTTATGGCTCCTTACGATGATTTCCTTATATAAAGTCCTGAAAAAGATAGGTTATTCGGGGTCAATCTTAAGGGAAGGGTCGAGGGCCTTGGGTGTTAGGGATCTGAGGTTGGCGTGGTGCTGCCCATGCTAAGGTTGGGGGTTTAGGGTTCAAGGAGGGTTTTTCTTTTTGGGCTACCTACGGTTGATGATATAAATCCTGCATTACCTTAAGGACCCTAAACTATGGGAATTATGGTATATTCCCTATTATGGGTAATGCAGGATTTATATCATCAACCGTAGGGCTCCTTCAAGGGTTCTGTAGGGTTTAGGGGACTCTAATACCCTATAATTGGAGTCTTGTTCTGAGGGTCGATGAGGCCACTCCTACTGGGTGGATCCTGCATCCGGCTAACGACCTATCTACCGACTTGATGCAGTTCCTTTTTGGGATTACCTTTTAGGAACTTCGAAGCCTATGGGTACAAGCATGCATCTCAGAACAAAGCTGAATTTGGCTGGATCCGTCGGAATTCCGTGACAAGGCCATGGAGCTGTGTGCACATGATGTGCAGCAGCCTAGATAATGCCGTCGGAGGGTACTGCCCACCCAGGGTTGAATGGTCTGTAATGGCTGGTTTGCTCTTTATGAAGTGAAAGTAGTCTACAGCAGGACAAAAGATACACCGGTATCACTCCCATCAAGGTTCCCCCAGAAGTGTTCTGAACTCGCATCGTGTTTTTTGCTGTCATAGCTGATTCCGAAAGCTTTAAGTCTAGTGAGCGCAGTTGAAGACTAGAAGGATAGTCTAGTTGTTTGCCTCTGACGCGGGAGCACTAAGTTTCACTAAGTTTGGGGGTTTGTTGAGATGTTAATGCAGGCCCCTGCTGAAGAATCCAACGCCCCGTAGCCAAGCTTCAAAGAGTGCCAGATATTGCAAATCTGATGCCGCTCAGGTTCTCGGTGAACCAGCAAGAGACGGCACCGCGTGTCCAGGTCCTTTGCCTTAACACGTACATGCGCAGGGATCGAGATTAAAGATCTAGAGTAGAGTTTAAGGCCGAGGAAAAGGGTTTGGCGCAGATGAGAGTGTTCATTCCTCTCGCCGTCCCAGGGTTTAAGACTGCGGAAGAGGGTAACCCACGTTGTTGATTCATCTCCTGAACTAGTAGATGCGGCAAGGGTCGAACGAAGAAACAACTTCCATTTTAATTATGGCTAGTTAGAATGCTAATTTAACCGAGGTTACCCAAAACCCTTTATACTGTTTTATGAAGGTTTAGGTCATAAGTGCGGTATTCGGAGCACAAGCCAGTACTATACCCAAATGAGCGTACGGCGTAGCCAGTAGACACGCAGGATGGCAGCATAGGCTGCCGCGCCAGCTCTGTTGCACCTTAGAAAATACATGCTTCGCTACGATTTCTGTCAGTGGAACAATTAACTTAAGTCACATAAAGTGTTTCCTGGCTGAGTTCTGAGGTGCTTCAGTCTGAAGACCGGAGGGATCTATAGTAAATACTGTGCTTTCCGTGTTGAGGTGACTTGAACTAAATTGCCTTTAATGTAACCCCATCAGACCTCTCAGCAGCCTTCTAAACAACGCTCTAAAACCCTTCCTAAACAACTGCAAATCCACCGAAAGCCCGGAACTTCAGCTACTTTCCCTCTCAAGACTCATGCCCTAAGGATGTACCCGCCATATTGAACTCCTAGGGATGGGTAGGGTCGAAGGAGAGCCTGTAGGCCAGACCCTGCCCCCAGAGCCCCACAATATGGGTGGGGGAGGGGGGGTGGCGGGCGAGGGTGCTTCAAAATAGTTGGTGTAATCTGACCACTGGACACTACATGACAATACTACACGTGTATATATATATATATATATATATATATATTTACACAGATGTTAATACATGGTGATCGTTCATGCATGGATGCATGGACGGACGGACAGCCGGAGGGATGCCTGGATGGTTGGATGGGTGATGATTTTTGCATGGATGCCTGGATGCCTAGATGCCTGAGTGGGTGGATGGATGGGGGAGGGAGGGATGGAGGGAGGGACATTACGTGTGTATATGCATATATATATATATATATGTGTATACATGTGTGTATATGCATACACATCATATTGCAGCCTGTCTATGTCTCAAAAGCCCGAGGTCTTTCCCAACGGCGAAGTGCAGCATGTAGGAGGCGTGGCGGCCCAGATCTGTGTATGAAGGGAGCTTTCTAGGGTTTAGAAGGTATAGGTTCTTGTTTGAAAGCGGGGAGGCGTCTGCTTACTTGCGAGGATTGCTATGCATTGTCTACCCAAAAACCCCAAAGTAGTTCCTTTTCGGGGTGCATATATGGAATCCTATCAGGTAATCCCAAACAGGAACTACTATGGGGCCTCTGGGTAGAGAGCCTCCTTCTGTTCTGCGACTCCGATGTGACCCTGCATCCGGCAAAACCCCAGACTCAAGGCGCTCAAGCTCAAAAGGGTTCTAAGACTAGGATGCCCAGTAGTACCCTTATTCCCTTTTTGTAGTCCTAGGTTCCTTATAAAGTTACCCAATACCAAAAAGAGAGGCCTTTTTATTCTTAGGTTACTGGGTATCCTAGAAGAGTACGGTTTAGGCTTTAGGGTAGTATAGCTCAAAAGTTCTAAACCACCCATTATCGCTTACAACTAACGCAAGGAATCCTGTAAAATCTCAAAAGAAATCTTATATCTATTCAGAAACAAATACAGACACATATTCTAGAATCCTTCGACAGCCCCGAGTCAAGCCCGTGTTCATGATAACTTAGATCGGGATGTCGACCATCGATGCACCCGTCATACACGAGATAACATAGACCGTTTTTCACGCTTATATGTATGGGTTCGGCAGGGTTTGTTTCGTTTGTTGGATTTCGTGCTTATGATTATGGGCCCGTCGTTTCGAGGCGTAGCCCCTGAACCCTGCACCCCCAAAACCCTCCCTGAATCCCAGAGTTTTGGTATATTGTAGCGTCACAAAATGATGTGCAGCTGCAGAAATCCCTTATAGCCTCTCAGACTAATCTGCCCAAACTGATTTTCAGGGCCTGGGCTTATACCCAAAATGCGCAGCCGCTGTCAGCTGAGCTCGGACAGGAGAGCGCCAGCCAGCCCAATACCGTGTAGTTGATGAATGTACACCTAAACCCATATGAGTCAGGCCCTGGTATACTTTGAAGTAGACTCTTCAATTCAAGGGTATTGGGCTCCTTTGGGGCGGCTGCTCAAGTATGGTTCATTGCGGGGGTCCTGAATGGTACCATATGGCATCATAGACGCTCCTGACATCATAGCCCGACTGACATACCTTAGGACCAAAGCTATTCCCTGCTGTTGTTTCGAGGTTCCAAAAGGACCGTTCGCGTAGAATCGCCCTCATGCTAAATCAGCTGAACGGATGGATCTGTGCTGCCTGCCGTTGCAGCCCTGAGTGCAACCCCTCGCAGATCTGTGATCACGGCGATGATGCTGCTTGGTTGCTGAGTAGTAACTTTCTCCCTCTTTCTCGTTTGTGTTTTTGTCACTGCCGTTGTGAAAAGAACAGGAAACCGGGAGTTATACTCAAACCCGAATCTGAACCCGAAATCATACAATCCACCAGCCGCAAGACTCCGAGCAGGCTGAGTCAGCCGAGACAATCAACGTACCCGTGTCCGCGCTCAAAGTTCTGGACCCAGGCAGGAGCCCGAGCATCATGTAAACACACGGTAGGATCACCACAAACAAGGCTGTAGGTTTGAATTCTTGGTGTTCTGTCTTCTGGCGTATTGGTCTCTAAACAGGTGCGTGTTCTTCCGATGATATGTACGACGAATTCTGCGACGAAGCTGAACTCTGGGCTGACCTGAGTGGATTTTGGTATCGACAGAAAGACAATCACTGCGTCGGAGAAATCTGCGAAGGCAGCTTGATTTGGCATGTACAGTGGAACTTACCGAAGGAAGTATCCAATCTGCAAGTGCTTTCGCCAGATACAATTACTCTTGGTATTCAAGATGAGGTTTTACTGGGCAAAGTCCAGCGGCATGCGCAGACAGCAATTCACTGGAGTGACGGCGATATTTGGCTACGGAAGTGAGGCTTTCCCCGCCCGTGCACTTCTGTGCAGATGAAGGTGTGAGCTGCCGAAGAGGTCAAACCTCGAGTAATTAATTCCCCAAGCCACTAGGTCCCGTAGTAATACTTGTACAATATTATTTTGGTGTTTCCTCATTACCTTTAAGGAGGTGGGTGTTCAAAACGATACCCTCATCACCAGGGACTTGGTGACAAACCTGGGACCCACTGCAGCTCGAACAAAGGCTTCTGAGTCTGTGGTGCTGCCCTGCTACCGTTTTCAAGAAGTGCTGCTCAGCGCGTGAAGGTGCTTGAACCCTGCAGACCCTAAGCAGCCCTAGGCCCTAAACGCCATACTCCCGCAGCCAGAAAGTCCACGCCCCACGAGCTCCTGCTTTCATGTTCACCGTTGCACCACTGACCTTCTGCGAAAGATCTTGCCTTGAAGCTCCTGCGGCAGCTGGTGCGCAGTAGGCAAAAGGTGCATCCGTGTGAGGGCTCGAACTCGTGACATGCAGAACAGCTTTAGGGAGTTCCATAGATATCAAGACTCAATGTACCGTAGCTATTTGTGTATAATAGCTTAGGATGCACAACGAGAGCCCAAGCAGATCCCTAAAGTACATTAAGCAATCAGGTCCCACATCTTATGGCCCTTGGATACTGATGAGGAGGACCCTCCCAGAACTGGTCTCCCGACTGTGAAGAACTCCTCATACGAAAGCCTCACTGCAGCCCTGACAAAACCCAATCTGAAACCCTGTTATCACTGTTATCAAAACCTACATAAAGTGGTTAACACTGTAAGAATATCCCAAATCTAGCCACCTCTACAAGAAACCCTCTAATGTTTGAAAGCCCTCTTTAAAGCCCTTCAACAACCTACTTGCCGTAAAAAACCCAAACCGAGGCGCAGCCAGCAGTGGGTGGCTTAGCCTCAGCGGCATCGCCTTTGCGCCGGCCCCTGGTGGTCGTCGCATGCTACCCTACAAGAACGGAGACTCGGCTCTCATAGGAGGCCAAAAGGGCCCAGACCTTCCAAAACCCTTAATTAAGGAATATACTTTAAATTATAGTAGGGTCCCTAATATGATTTAAGGTATATTCCTTAATTAAGGGGTTTTGGAAGGTCTGGGGGGTTTTAGCCTATGGTTGTTTAGTAGGGATTAGGGTTCCCAGAATAGGGTTCATATTAAGGAATCCCTACCCCAAGAATCTTAAACCCTATAGTCCCTAAAACCTATAATCCCTAAATCCGAATCCCTACCCCAAGGATCTCAAACCCTAAATCCTAAACCCTAAACCCTATTATCCCTAAACCCTAATCCCTACCCCAAGAATCTTAAACCCCCCCCCTTTTGGCCTCCCATCGGTCTCGAGGTTCATGGTTCCGGTTCTTTGGAGCCTCTTGGGGTATAGGGTTTAGGGTTTTTAGGATTTAGGGTGTAGAGTTTATAGGGTTTTTAGGATGATTTAGGGTGTATAGGGTTTAGGATTTAGGGTGTAGAGTTTAGAGTTTAGGATTTAGGGTGTAGAGTTTAAATAGGGTTTAGGATTTAGGGTGTAGAGTTTATAGGGTTGAGGATTTAGGGTGTAGAGTTTAGGGTTTAGGGTGTAGGGTGAGGGTGTAGGGTTTAGGGTTCGGGTGTACGGTTTAGGGGTTTGTTGGCTTTAGAAAGTTATGGCCAGCAGGAAGCAAGGTGTACAGCTGGAGTCAAAACGATCGGTGCCGGGATCCTTTTAGGATACCGTCTAGGCTACGAGGACCGTCCCGTGCCAACTTTCCGGTGCTTAGGATGTAAGGTTTACCTAGACCCCTCAAAGTAGGTGAAATAATGGCCCCAAACTAAACCGATAAAAATGTGATTATTCTACATCCTTTTTAGGGATTACAGAGGTTCATGCGAAGGTCTTTCAGGACCTGAGCGATCGGGGAGATCTGGCCTAAGGATGCCATAGCAAGGTTTTTTTAGGGTTTAGGGTTTAGGCGGCAGAGTTTGACAGATGCTAAATACATATGCTTTTAATTTCAGGATTCCGATGGGCCTGAAGCGTTTTTTGTTTGTTCTGCAATCGGCTGCTTATGGGATTTCACTAGGTTTTCTCGGGTCTTTGCAGCCTGTCATGGGGGTTCAAGGGTGGGTGCTTTCGGAATTCAGGGTTTATGGCGTTTACGATTTAGCGTTGCTGCGTTTGAGACCGAACTTTCGTGGCATTGGGAGCAAATGGATGACACATTTGCAAAATGAGCGCATCCTTTTGAAGAACCAACCAAAAGGTTTTAGGGTCTCGGGAAAACCCAGCTCGATCGCTCCGATTTTCCCTCCTCTCTCTCTCTCTCTCTCTCTCTCTCTCTCTCTCTCTCTCTCTCTCTCTCTCTCTATATATATATATATAGATCTCTCTCTCTCTCTCCCTCTCTCTCTCTCTCTCTTTCTCTCTCTCTCTCTCTCTCTCTCTATATATATATATATACTTATATATATATATATATATCTATCTCTCTCTCTCTCTCTCCCTCTCTCTATCCCCGCCCCCCCCCCCCCCGCCTACATGAACCATCGAGCCTCTACCGGAAAGTGTCGGATGCTGAGCCCGAGCAGTGCAAACCTGTAAGACTGAGGGAATGGTCGGCAACTGTAGTGCCCCGTGATGCCATCGCTTTGCATGATAATCGCACCCAAGTCAACATACTGTAATATACCCAAAATCCTGTTCCGACTCCTACATCTCCCATGTTATAGGAGAGCTAAACCGAGGCCATAGGGGATCACATTTCATATACGAGTCCACAAGACCACAGCCAAGGTTGGAAGGATTATGGCTACAACTTCGGAGAGGCGACATTTAGCATGAAGCCTCGCGCCTGGAAGTTGGGAAGCTTTTTGACATCTTCTTGTCTGTGCTCAGCCCGCGCTCGCAACCCCCTAAAGGCCTGAGGCAGTATGTTATAACCTTGAAGCCCTCAAGCCATAGATAGCTTTCGAACCCGGTAGCCCTTAACCCTAAACCCGCTTGAAACCCTGAACCGCTAGAGGAACGGCTTCTGCATCTTGGAGGGCATGGTGTGGCAAGGCCTCGTCGTTTCAACGGGGTTCAATACTTTGAAGACCTTTCAGGGTGTAGGGGTTATATGCTTATCTTAGATAGCCAATGGGGAACTTCAAACTTTTTGGCCTTAGATATTTGGTCTATCTTAGAAAGTTTAAACTTTTTTGGGCCCGGTTATTGAAGGAGAGAGTTATAATTACGCATGGGGTTTGAGAGATCTAAAGCATTTCAGTTTGTAGGGTTAGGGGTTATAATTACAGGGTTCTGGGGTTTGGGGGCTTAGGGACCGAGGTCCCACGTCACTGTATGCGTTGGCTTACACAGCTCCCTTGAAAAGAATATGTACATTCTCTGGTATTGAGGCCTAAAGGAACTGTCTTTATGATTCGGGGGCCTACGGAAACCTTTCAAGTTAGAGGGACTCATCATCCCCGAAAGCCACCCAAAGCAGAATCGCAGCCCTACAACTCGTACGACAAAGCTTAGGACAGCACCTGCCAAAGTTCCTAGACCCTGAAATCATCCTTATACCACGCTTACAGAACCCCCCAAAAACCCGAAGCCCTAATCCCGCCTGACAAAAAAAGCCCCAAACTCAAGCTCTATGCCCCTTTAAAAAAGCCATGCCGCCAGGCGACTGGGACAGTAGCTTCGCTCTCCTTCCTGAAGGTTGCCGGCCCACTAAGAGGCTGCACCTCGGCTGTAAACCCGAAAATCCTGAACCCTAAACCCCTAACCTCTAAACCTGAACCCGTCAACCCTAAACCACTAAACCCTAAAATCCAGAACCTTCAAGCATAGGATGCCGGGAAAGAGTTAACTCACTCGAAGTGTGTTAAAACCGGGGGGCCCGGTAGTGCCCTGTTTTTCCGTGCATATCGGAGACAACAACAAAGGTGAGACCTGTTCGAACCCATACAAGTCACAATAAAGCTCTGAAAATCCACGTAAAGCCCTGTGACCTGATAGATATCAACCTCCTAGCCCCTCAACCCCAACCTTACACCGAAAAAAACGCAAACTCCTAGATTCCATCGGCCGTCTAAATCCTAAAGCAATGCTTCCCTTCAGCATCTGTACCCAGAGGCTCTATAGTAGTTCCTTTTTGGGGTTACCTTATAGGATTCTAAATATGAACCCTCAAAAGGAACTACTTTGGGGCCTTAGGGTAGCCTCAGGCTCTTCCACGCCAACAACCACGAAGGTTCATCTCGCGTGGATATCGAGACAAGCCGCCCGGATAAGGGAGCAAGTTATAGGCCTACCTAGAGGCTCCATATAGTAGTTCCTGGTTGGGGTTCATATTTAGAATCCTATAAGGTAATCCCAAAAAAGAACTACTATGGGGCCTATGTGTGGGTAGGGGATCCGAGGTCAAAGCAGAAAGGTTTTCGATGTTAAGCGCGGTTGGGTCTAGAGGCTGTGGGTTCGGGGTTTGTGCCAGTCGCTGCTGTTGCCATGTCGTCGTATGCGTACAAGCCTTTTTTTGTTTGGCCTTAACCCATAGGCTCCATAATTAGTTCCTTTTTGGGATTGCCTTATATTTAACGGATCCTATAAGGTAACCCCAAAAAGGAACTACTATGGAGCCTATCGGAACCTGCTTGTCCTGGCAGGTGGCGGCGTGCTGTACGTGGCGGGACCTACGAACTATCATTGGATGCCGCATGACATTGCACATCATTCATGAATCACAGGAGGGGTAATTTCAAAGTATCTCAGCTGTGAAGTCGGCTTGGGGAAGCATGCAGGCACTGCAGAAGATTCGGAACCATGGTGTCGGTGTCCTGACATGCAGGATGCCGTGTGTGTGTGTGTGTGTGTGCGTGTGTTGGTGTGTGTGTGTGTGTGTGTGTGTGTGTGTGTGTGTGTGTGTGTGTGTGTGTGTGTGTGTGTGTGTGTGTGTGTGTGTGTGTGTGTGTGTGTGTGTGTGTGTGTTTGTGTGTGTGTGTGTGTTTTTGTTCATGGGGTCCTCACAATAGTCCTACTTTTTAGGATTTAGAGTGAAGTTGGAAGTGGTGTTTTTGCTTTGTTGTCTGGCGCCGAACTCTTTGGGATCGACAGCTGTTGCGGATGACTGAGACGACTGTCCTAGCCTACCTGGACAACCTTGTTGGCAAACGGGAAGGGCGGTCTTGTTTGTCGCAGTACCATGATTTCGCGTTCGACGCAGGGGTTCTGCTGTTGTCTGTGGCTCGTTGGACGCGACTTCTGTCGGCCACAGTCCGTTAGGCGTGCAGTTTTTGTTGATCCGCGCCCGCCCCCCTGAATGCTCACTCACTCACGTCCGTGGGCTGGCTGCTGGCGGTTATTTTGTTTGCTCCGTGGTCGTCACGGACGCTCTCTCACTCACGGCCGTTGGCCTGCAGGCTTGATGGCGGGCTTGTGGCTGTGTCCTGCCGTGCTGGTGTGTTCGTGTTTTGCTCTTGGCCTCCTGTCGGTGATGTTTTTGCTCACGATCAATCACCCACCGCCGCGCCTGGGTTTGGGCAGCGGCACTCACGGCTTTGCTGCTGGAGTGGTGTGCGTACTTTGCTCTCAGCCTATGTGGGTGTTGGTCTGCGCCGCATTTGCCGGAATGTTGTGGAGCCGAGATACGGAAAACTAGAAGCAACAACTCCGGGCGCCGGCGGTCCGACAGCCAAAAATCTTCTAGTAACCAGTGGCGGCGGCCAGGAGCAAAATGGCCGCGGAACATGAGTTGAACGACACTTAGGCTTTGGTTTCTGCCGTTAAAAGATAGACTGCAACATTTGGCAGAGCTGAACTAGTCTTAGGGATTCAAAGTGTTTGCAGATTTTATTGGTGGTACTATGGGGATTTTATAAGGTTTCCTGCCAGGCTATAAGGATTTCATAATCGTCACTACCAGCGTTAAACGGAGGGGACATAGCACTCTGCATATGGGTTTTATATGATGGCCGCCACTGGAGCCCTTATGAAGGAACCATGTTCCAATGTGTTTAGTAGAACTGTTGTTGACTGTAGCTCATCCAAGGAGTGTATCGGGTATCCTCTTTGCTCCAGACACGGTTGGGCACATCGCTCTTCCTTTGGCAGGCCCGGTTTGGGTTGGCACCCTTCCGCAAGGGAACTTGGAGCTGATCTGGGTCTTTGTAGTTGCAATCTGTGTCTGATTATCTTACAGTTTTCTTGCGGTTCAGAGTTTTCCCCATTTGCGATTTGCTACGGTTCTGGTTACGATTTCAATACGGTTATGCGGGAAAGCACGGCTCGGACCTCCTAGTGCGAAGGGGATTCAAACTGACGATACCTTCGACAATCCTGATTAGGATAAGCGGCAGTTGCAATCAGAGGGTTACATCCGAATCATCCTAGGACCTCGGCTTCATCGATAGACCATCAAATGCTCTAGCCAGCTGCTGATCGCAATCCTTGACCTCAGCACATAGCATGTTCTTTCGAAGGAGCAAGAGTTGCATGTCTTAAGCCTTAAGGTATTGAGGAAGCGGAACCTAAACTGAAAACTGAATGACCTTGAGCTCCTAACCGCTGGAACCTAGACTCTAAAACTCGTAACCCTACTGTAAGCCCTGTGCCCCAATACCTCCGCCCCGCACCAAGACCCGTTCTTATAGAGTTTGGCTTGGGGTTTATGTAGATTGGCGAAATGACGGAGGTGGGCTCTGTTATGGCATGGATATTGTGCTTTAGAAGAGGAAGCCTCCTCCAGTGAGCAGGGCTTCTCGTTGTAATCCGGACACTTACAAGTCGTAATTTTCCACATCCTAAACCATAAAACCCCGGACGCCCTGAGCCCTGCATCCCTTATTACCCTTATCATTCCCTAAGCGAAACGCGAAAACCCTAAGGGTCCATGTACCCATATGGCATGTACTTTGGGCCCAATGTACCTATATAGGAAGTACTTTAGGGCCAACCCTGAGGGAAAAGGAACCCAGAAAGATCGCGACGGGAAGGTGCCTGGGTCGGCTATGGTGGCGCGTACGAGTCCCCTGACTACACTGCCGCTGTTCTGCAGATAACCCTGAGGGTCCATGTACCCAAATAGTATATACATTGGCCCCAATGTACCTATATAGGGATTACTTTAAGGCCATCATACTGTTTAGGTACATGGACCCTTAGGGTACAGAACCCTTATAGATCCCTTATAGAACCCTTGTAGTAACCCTTAAAGGAACCCTTAAAGGAACCCTTAGGGTATGGGAAATATACATGGAACCTTAGGGTCAGGGCTCCATAAGGGTGTTTTATGTTTTACAGGGGCTTGGCAGCGGTGTTATGAGGGTTTAAGGGTTGTAAAGGGTGCAAAGTCGGGTCATGAATAAGTAACTACGGCTCTGCGGCCTTTGTGGTATTGTTATTACTGTATTATAGTAGAAGATAGAAGAAGGCATGTTAGGGACCATATGCGGACAATCTTGTCAGCTGTTCAAACCGGCATATAAAACATTGCAGAGCAAGAGTTCAAGGTGCTCTCCTTGAGTTCAATACACTTCTGAGATCCTCATAACGACCCCTATTGAGCCAGGAGCCCAAAACGAACCGTTCACGGCTTCCGAAGGCCCGACGAACGCGGAAGATCTTTGTTAAATCTGCAGCTACAGACCACCCTACATTGAACTACCATAGCCTGAGTTTTTGAAGGTTCATCCTAGAAACCCGAATATAGGACGTAAAGGGACGCTAACACAAAGTGTAGGTTTCGGCAGGTTAAGATAGAAAACCCCGAATCGAGGCCCTGTATCTCTAAATTGCGAAGTTTCCCCTGAACCTACCAACCCAAAAGCCGGAGCAGATCAGGGGCAAAATCGTGCGCTCACCTTATTATGCGTGGGTCGGAATCAGCCTCGGGTCCAGCCAGCATTTTTTCAGGGTTCATACTTTCACGGCTTTACGGTCTTAGGGTTTAGGGCCTTAGGGCTTAGGGTTTACGCGTCTGGTTTAGAAGTGCAGTAAGAAGTATTTTGGGTGCCCGATCAATCATCGCCGCTCCCTCCTTGCAGTAACAGTGGTGGTGATTTTGATAGTGATGGTGATGGTGACGGTGGTAGTGGTGGTAATGTTGGTGGTGGTGGTGGCGCCAGCAGTATTGTTGACTACCTGCCTGTAAGACAGACCCCTGGGACAAAGCCTGAACAAGTTAACCTGAAAATCTTGCATGGGAGCATCTTTGAAAGTCAAGAACGCTCTATATACCCTAAAGGCCCTAAAGTATAGCCCTAGATCCCAAACCTCAGGTTCTCGTCCGACCCATCAAGACGGTGGGTTATGCCCTGGTGTTTCTAGTCTAGGGGCGAACCCTAGCAACCTGACCCTAAGGGTCCATGTACTCATATAGTATATACATTGGCCTTAATGTAGTCCCTATATAGGTACTTTGGGGCTCATGTATCTCTATATGGGTACATGGACCCTTAGGGAACCCTAGCAACCTGATCCCATATCAGAAACCCTCAACCAATATGCAAACGCGTAGAAAGCTAGGGTTACCCGTAGTGAGACCCGAGGTCCGCAACGGCATTTGCTCCGTTGAAGGACTGATCTATGGAGGCCTCGGCCGCAACGAAAGTTTTAGGGCTTCTACAAAGCTGGGTGCTCCTTAGGAATCATAATGCACCCTTGATTTGTCCGTCAACACAAGGATATGTTACACATAGTTTTCGAGCAGTGCGGCACATACTATGGGGATAAAAGATTAAATACTAGCATGCCCAGTACTACCCTTATTCCCTTTTTGTAGTCCTAGGTTCCTGAAACAGTTACCAAATACCAAAAAGGGAGCGTTTTTTTCCTAGGTTACTGGGCATCCTGGTTCCAGGCGAGTGGGGCCACTTGGCAACGCTTCCAGAAGACTGTCGTCCTGCTGATGGAGCATTGATCTTCACCGTGAACAACCACGCGAAGAGCCTCTTCTTTGTGATTTTCGGGGTTGACTTACTAGGTTTCTTCCATGTATGTGGACTTGAGCTTCGTGACTTATCATGTAGTACACCTTTCACCCTATTAACAGGCTCAGCCTGCGCGCACATCGCCAGTATAACGGCATCTGCGATGATGAGGACCAAGATGTTGATGATCCTCCACGATACTTCCCAAACCCTTGTCACCAAGCCAAAACCCCTAAGCCCTCAACCTAACTTAAAGCCCTAAAATCAATAGCCTAAACACCTCGTCAAGAAGCTCCACGTGAACCTTCGCAGCACCTCAAAAGCCGAGACCTTATATCCGCCAAGAAGCAACAAATTGCTAGGATTCCCAGTAGTACTCTTATTCCCTGTTTGTAGTCCTAGGTTCCTTATAAAGTTACCCAATACCAAAACGTGAGGCCTTTTTATTCTTAGGTTACTGGGTATCCTAGTTTGTTTGTAGAAGCGACCATATACGGACCCCCCCAGAAAACAGAGAGTTCTTTCCTGATTCCCCAGTCCAGATAGGTTAACATGAAAGCCGTCACCACAGCCTAACAAGTAGCACCTCGACGCACCACCCTGCAGCTCAACGCCTAACAGCGCGAACTTCAGAAGCTTGCACCCTGAAATTTGACGGCTTTGCAAGAGTCGAACCGACGCCTTAGCTTGCACACTATCCACCCTAATTCCCGTCTCCCCCAAAACGAGACGTAGAGCATGGCAAGAAAAGCCCGAGTAGCAATGATCGTAAGAAGGACGGTGCTAGTCTTCGCAATAGCATACGAGCTGGCACAAAATACAGTTCTGATAGCAACTTCGATAACGATCATGATGATAACGGAAAGGGCGGGCAGTTCATGGCTGAAAGCCAGTAAGGCCTGCGCGAGTCAATGTTGAGTCGAACGGGGAGATCAGGTGGATAGCCGGAGGCAGACGGGCTTAGAGGGTTTTCGGTTTAGGATGCAGGGTTATGGGTTTAGGGTTTAGGGCGTTGGATTCAAGAAATACAGATTGTGCGGGTTACAGTAGTAGAGGGCTTATATGTGGCTCCCAGGAAATGCAGAGTTTTCTTCGAAGCAGAGTATTAGACGTTTTCAACTCATAAGACAGTGATAATTAGTTAGAGGATTTTGGGCTTGTTGGGAAATGGAGAGTTTCACCCTAAGGGTCCATGTACCCAAGAAGTTTATACATTGGCCCCCATATTACCTACATAGGGACTACTTTAAGGCCAATGTATATACTATTTAGGTACATGGTCCCTTAGGCTTAGGGCACAAAGGTTGACAAGGTTTTGGGGGGATCACAGAGTTTTCATTAAGGTTGAGCAGGCTTGCAGGGATCAGAGGCTTCGGAGAGGGTGGCTATGGTATTTGGGCTCTAAAAAATCCTGGGGCTCCAGGTATACAAAAAGTACCTATTCTGTGGGGTCTAAAGTTTATAAATCCTCCCTGATTTGGGCTTTTGGGAGCCGAAGGGGAAGGGTGTAGGATCAGGGGAGCTAGTACTGGTAAGCAGGTTCTGTTTAACATAATCATTTGGGCTGTGTTAAAGGTCGTCGTATCAGTATAAGACCCGCGGGATCCAGGCACCAGAAGTAAGTAGGTCCCCCTAAGGGTCCATGTACTCATATAGTATATACATTCGCCCTAAAGTACTCCCTATATAGGTACATTGGGCCCAAAGTATCTGCTATTTGGGTACATGGAACCCACCGGGTCCTCTATTGATTTTGCTTCAAGCACCCCAATTGAGAGACGCAGCAATTGTCTCCTGAGTTGTACGCCTCCTGACACAAGGTTCCGTGCTTAAGTACGGGAATTGCAGTGTCGATGCATCGCTTGGGCTATGTTTTGGCACGTCACTGGTTTGTTACACAGCCTTTGCGTGTCTGGGTCATCATGTGTTCAGTGACCTGGAGTACGACCGGAGCCACCAGAATTCGAGGAGTCAAACACGCAGTTTTTGAGACGTGGTGTGCCTTGCTGAGGGCTTGAGACTAGGATGCTGTGAAGCTCCGATATTCTACCGACACCTGACCCGTATACTCCTGCCTGCTGTTGTTGAGGCCACAAAAGACCAAGAAGTCATTGACATAGGTACGGTAGTATCGTACGTGTGAGGTACACGGACCCTTATTTAAATTAGAGGGATCCCAAAGACCGTGAACGGTTTGAACATGACCCTAAATTCTACAAAGCTCTTATGTGCCTTCTCGGCAACACAGCCCTAAATCCTATGACCACATAAGGCCCCTTGATCACATACTGCATCATACCGAATGCGTCATGGACTTAAAAGAATCCTTAAGTTAAGCCTCCGAACAACTGCCAATATTATCGACCTGCTTGGCAAGGCAACAATCATCACTTTATCAGCCTAAGCGGGATCGTCTTCTCGCCAACTGCCCTTGGCTACGCTATTCCACTGGAGCGACTGGGCTTGTTAGAGGCTTGGGGTTCAGGGTTCTAGGATGCCCAGTAGTACCCTTATTCCCTTTTTGTAGTCCTAGGTTCCTTATAAAGTTACCCAATACCAAAAAGAGAGGCCTTTTTATTCTTAGGTTACTGGGTATCCTAGGGTTTCTTACGGCTTTCGCGCAATGCGCCTGTAATCAGGACTCACTAACTTGGGTAATTACGTGGCTTCAGGACAATAAGACGCCCTAGAGGATCCACCAAATTAAATTCCCCAAAGCGGTATGCTACCCTGATAAGGGTGGTTGGCAAAATTATGGTCCCTTTTTGGGTCCCCAGTATAATACGGCACCTATCATATAGGGTACCCAAAAACGGAGCTCAATTTTGACAACTACACATATAAGTCACGATAGGCCCGTTTTAGGGGGCTTTGCTGTTAGGGTTTAACGCTTTGTGGCTAAGTCGTATAGGAATTTCGGGCGACTGTTCCTTAGTATAGTGAGAATATTCCTCTGAGTTTGAGGCGCCGCCGACATTTTTACGGTTTAGGGTTTAGAGTTTAGGGGTTTAGGGTTTAGGGGTTCAGGGTTTGATCGAGCCCAGGAATGGCTGGAGCAACTACGGCAGCGGATATGCCCCCGCGAAGTATCGCGTGGTAAACGGCATCTGCTTCCTTGAGGGCTTGATCAACAAAGGCGCCTCTTAGGGTTTAGGGCTTAGGGTCTAGGGTCTAGGGTTTAGGGTTTGTTTAGGGTTTAGGATTTGTTTAGGGTTTGGGGTTTAGGTATACGGGTTTATGGCGGTTTAGGGTAATGTAGAGCCGCACACGCCTGCATTGCATTCCAATCGCGCATGGGCATGGTGCCCTCATACATGGGGCCGGTCTATAGATCCAAAAAAGCTGACGGTCATGTGACAAAACACCCCTGCCACCCAAGTTCTTACATCCACCGCCGCACCCATGCTCAGGCCTCCATAATGTAGGGACCTGATTGAGACACCCTGGGCCTATAACCCCAAAATAGCAGGCTTCATATAAGGAGCCCGAATAAAGGCCCAAGGTTTCTTAATCAGGTTCCTACATTAGTAGTTGAGCCCTGTGAACCTAAACCACCCCAAGGCTTTCATCAGGCAAGCTTTTGGGTGCCTGCGCTTCGGGCCGGTACTATTGACTGTTAATCGGGCTTTAAGGGTTTAGGGCTTAGCGAGCATTGGATTCCGAGGTGCCTGGGTCGTAGTCGCAGGCCGAATCTATAGGAAGGCTTACCGCGAAACCACGAGACTCCACAACGGTTCAAGATATACCCATAGGCCCCGTAGTAGTTCCTTTGGGGGGTTCATGGGGGTTCATATGTAGAACCCTATAAGGTAATCCCAAAAAGGAACTACTATGGGGCCTATGGGTATTCAAAAAGAAAGCAGCGCACAATTTCTTTTCAGCTTACGAAACCAGCCTGAATGATGTTTGCAAGCATATATTATATCCCTTAGTTATCGACTTGCAGATTGTTGCAAGTGCACAAAGGTCCACAGAAACTCCCAACTCATGAAAACCCAAGAGAAAGAGCCTCCTTGCAGAACCCACATGACATAGAGATGCCCTAAGCATCAAACGGCCCTAGACCCGAAACGTTGAATAAGCCCTCAACCCTAAACCCTAAACCTGAAGGAAGCCCTCAACTGTGAACCCTAAACCGTAAAGCAGCCCCAAACCCTAAACCCTATAAGCCTAAAGAAACTCTAAACCCCAAGGGTTGAAAGTAGGTGGCCGGGGGACAATGGTGGAAAAAAATGCTTCTAATCTAAACCTGACAGGAGCCTTCACCCCTAAACCCTGTAAGCCAAGAACGAGGCCCTATCCCCAAGGAGGGTCCATAGGACTCAATAGTAAGGTACTTGGGTTTAGGATAGTAGTTATGTAGGTTCGGGTTTTGGGGAGTATGTGATTAAAACTATTGGGTCCCAAAACCCTGAGGAAGCCCCATTTCCGAGAGCAGGTTCGGCGACGCACGCGGCGACGTTGCCCTCGGATTGTCGCCCGAAGAAGACGCTGGCATCTCGGCTTCTTAAAGGGCCCTTTACAAGCAATCTGGTTGGTTTCTATAAGACTTCTACAAGGCTTAAGGGTCATGGGACTTACAAGTTAACTGCAACCAAGAAGCATCTTACTATATAATTTTGCATGTTCGGTCAAAAGAGTCCCGGTGGGGTTCTCTATGGCTATGAATAAAGACACTAGGAGTGAATGCTATCGTTAATTTTCAAGCTCGACATCGAGGTACGGACCATACGGTCAGGGGTTGGCTACCTGCGTACAATCTCAAGGCGAGTTAGGGTTTAGGTCTACATAGCTGAGGGCAGGCCATGTACTTGTTTGTAGATGCCGCGGAACCAGCGAAGTAGAAACGTACCAATGCACGAACCTTAAACCTCAAACGAAGGTTTCGTGATGTGTACTAGAACTACTTAGATCCCTAGAGCTCCTCAACATAACCCTATGGGTCCATGTGCTCATATAGCATATACTTGGGCCCCAATGTACTTAAAAAATAGGGACTACATTAAGGCCAATGTATATGCTATATGAGTACATGGACCCTTAGGGTTGGCTGCCAAGCAAGCAAGCAAGAGCGACGAGCATCCTCCCTAAGGTTTTCGACGCCAACAAGCAGGATAATATTGACCGGGTGGACGTCGACGTGAACGGTGCGGTCATGTTCTTTGATCTGATGCTCGACTACAGCTGCCAATCAACACCAGACATGCATGTGCGTGTATGTATGTGTGTGTGTATATATATATATATGTATATGGTATTCCTTTATGATATACCCTGTTCGTCAATCACTCATTCGTCTGTTTATATATATATATATATATGTATGTATATTTATCTTGGCTTTCCCTAGAATTCGTAAGCCCGCAAATCCTTCAGTACAAAGCACAACCTACACCCTACAGTGGCCTGATCCAGATCCCAAGAGTCGAGCTGATCGAATTTAAGCAACATTACCGAAAATCTGGAGGGCTCCTGAATGCTGCAGACCCCTGATTCCTAAAGCCGCCCAACTAAGGCAGCATTGTGCTAGGGTTCCTGCATAACGTTAGGTTTAGGGCCCTTCAAGCAAAGGAGGTTCGTGAATCAAACTACAATTTGCCGACTGCTGGGGCACTGGCTTTCCAAAACCCTAAGACCCCAAAAAGATGAAGGGTAAGACCCAGCGAAGAAACCGATAATGCAGGGGCCTTAATATTTAGAATAGGGTTTGAATGGAGGGTATATTATACTATAATTATAATAAGGAACCACCGAAAACCGTATTGTGATTATGAAGGCTCCTACGTTAAGCAACCTCAAGCAAAGGCCAGCTGCTTTAACATGGAGGTGTGTGAGGGTGCACTTGTACTTCTTTAGTTAACAGAGAAGTGACCACACTGCCATATGGAAGTTTCCGAAAATTGCGGTTACCTTATTTTGGGTTCCTTATAATCTAGGATACTATATTAGGGTCCCCTATTCTCGGAAACTCCCATATCTAGGACGGACATCCGATTGTTTTCAGATTTTGACATTCGTTGCCCAGACATGGACTTTTGTTCTGCCACCCCAAGGGTCCAAAGGACCCAATAACTAGGGACTCGGTTTTAGGATAGTAGTTACTTAGGTTAGGAATTTGGAGAGTATGTCCCTAAACCCCTAAACCCTAAACCCCTTTGAACCCTAAACCCCTTGTAGGATAGGAGTTGGGAGAGTGTATGATTATTAGGTACTTGGACCCTGGGGGCTACTTGAGAAGCCTGGCGCTCGCAAAGCTTACCGTACGTGTTCAGGAACAGTCTAATAGGTAGCTTAAACTACCACATCCTTTAATTTGTCGGCTCTTACTACGAACCGTAATGTAGGATCTATAGTGACCCTAGAAAACAAGTATCATGGTATGCGTTTATGGCGGACTATTCAAGAGGATACTATCTCTAATTCCGAGCTTAAAACCCTAAACCCCAAACCCTAAACCCTAAACCCAACCGCTGGCTGCTTGAAGCCCCGCAACCAGGAACCCCGGTGGGTGGGCAAGCCTCTCCGGTGTGCTCTTCGATGTCGAGTCGCTTGGTTTAGGGGTTTAGGGTTTAGGGCTTTTTGGGTGCTCACAGACTCCAGCATCGCGTAAGTAAGCCATACGTTTCAGTTGTAGAGGGAACATTCGTAAAATGCCCGACGCAGTTCTTAAACAAGAGTTTTGGCGGCTTCTACTGCATTTAGAGGTTCCTTTAGGGGTTAGGGGTTTAGGGGGCTTTGGTGGTTTGTAAGGGTTCCTTTCAAGGGATCTATAAGGGTTCCTTTGACTATACAATTTGCCGTACAAAAGTCAAGGTGTCATAGGCGATTTCTGTTGTGATCTGGTTTCGATGTCTGGGGGCCCTGGCGGCTTCAGGGTTCATAGGGTGTGCCTATAGTCTCCATTCTAGTTCCTTTTTGGGGGTTACCTTTGGGGATCCATAATATAAAATTGGTTAAACCCAAAAAGGGAACTACAATGGAGACTATAGGTAGGGTTTGAAGTTTGAGGGAGATGTGAGAGTTTCATCTTGCAAGTCTTTAAGGTTTAGGGTTCTAGGGTTTAGGGTTTTAGGGTGCAGGGTCTTAGGGTTTGGTTTTTTGGGGCTATGGGTTTAGGGGCCCAGAGTGTCCGGGAGGCGTAGCTTCTGAAATTTAGGGACCCGGAATTGTCGGAGCTTGCAAAGGATTTACTTGCACATGGGTGGTTGTCAAAATTATGTTTTTTTACGGCACCTACTATTTAGGGTATCCAAGAAGGGACCCTAATTTTGACAACTACCCACATGTGATTTCAGAACGTGTTGTTTGCGCTAGTCTTGGAGGGTTTACCTGCGATGTAGGGCACCTCAATCTTATCAAACCAACTGTGTTCCCTTTCATCGGCCGGCAGGTGGGTTTTGATTAGGGTTACCGTGTTTGTCAGCTGGATCTCAGTCCCATCCTGCTTGCAGCACGCGATGTAGGCTTCAGTTGAAAGTATATGCTTAGAGTATTTCTGAGTGTATACATATGCACAATATATACACATACATATGTGTGTATATATATATATATGTATATGTGAAATGATATGATACACATATCTGGCTTTCGCAGTCATGAGCCCCAGAAGGCCATCAAACCCTGAGATGCTCAGGTAAACTCTGAGCGTCAGAGACCGCTGATCAGCCTGCGCAGAGGGCTTCCGGGTTTTAGATACTCCTGAGTCAAGGAGAGTTGCGTTCCTTCGTTATCGTTTTCACCGAAAGCTGCGCGGAAAAGCCTCACTCGCACGTGGTTGCTGTTCATCTGTGATCAGTGATTCATCGGCATCACCCATTACCCTTAGCTCCAAAGCATAGGACCCCCTTCAGTGTGTACTAACGCTTTCAAGCGGAGCCATAGCTTGACAGGCCCCATGAGAAATTGTATGGCTTTTTATTACACTACGTTCTAGTGCACTGACTTTATATTCATATATACATATTATACACTATATATATATATATATGTATACACATACATAGGTATGAGTATGCTTGTTTTCGATATGTTGCTTCATTGTGTCATATTGAAACTCAGTTATACCATTGTGTCCAGACGGTTCTGTCATTCGGGGTTTGAGTTGTGCGGATCAGGCCCCGAGATCCAATACCTGGCGAATAAGGACTGTTCTGTGAATTGTAGTTTAAGTTCAGGGTTTAATCGAAGTTTAGGGTTTGAGTGTAGGGCTTGGCAAAGTTTAGGGTTTAGGCGGGTCCCTGCCGTGATTTGAGGTCTATGCCTGAATTGAGGGGTAGTGGGGCTCTTTGGGCAGGAGAGCTCTTGTGCATGTTTCGGTCTCTGTTTTCCATGACCATGCCATTGTGTTCAAGTTTGCAGTGTATTTGGAGAACAGGGTTCTGGGGTACAGGCTTCCAAGTCGATGAGCCTATGATAGGGTACCCATAGGCTCCATAGTAGTTCCTTTTTGGGATTACCGTATAGGGTTCTAACTATGAACACCAAAAAGGAACTACTATGGAGCCTCTAGGTATCCAGAGCTATATGCTGCAATTCGGGGTCCAGCTAAAGTTCCCACTTGCAACCTTCCGACTACTAGGACTCCGTTTTCTCTTGGAGGGGTCCGTCAAAGAAGGACCCTGTGAGTTTTCTTGGAGGGGGGTCACTTTAAGAAGGATCCTAGACTTTTGGGAGTTTCCCTTTCGGGTCTCCTGGTTGTTTTGTTGAGGCTCCCATTTGGTGCACACGTCCCGCAGCCGGCATTGAAGCTTTGAGCTAGCCTTTGCCAGCTTCCAGCCTTCCGCCCCTCGTAACTGGGCCGTTCTTGACACTACTTTCGGGTGTTGGGTTCCCGTTCCCTAGTGGGTCCATGCGTCCAGATAGGATAAATCTACTTTGGCGATGAAGTAGGTCCTATATCGATACTTTGCAGTCAAAGTATGCACTGTTTGAGCACAGGGACTGAGGTGTACATGGTTTAGGGCCGTCGAGTATTCTGCAGAGACTCAAGCGCTCATGATGATGTAATCGGGTTGCAAATCATAACCCTCAAGCCCAATATCTAAACCCTCAACCCAAATCCGTAAACTTAAACCCCATCTCCCTCGGACCCACACCCAGTTGAGAGGTCTGTAAGAGAGAACATAAGTATATGCTATTTTGAGCAAAACACGGCCTCCAAGACCTTTCCAGGTGAGCAATGAAGCAGACCGTCGCAGCCGTTCTCCTGGCCTCTGCCCGCGGCATCGTGATCCACGCCCCTGCAGGCAACAGCAGAGAAAAAGTCACAATGTAGAAAAACTTGAAACCAAGCCTTAAACTTGAAGCCCCCGAACCGGAACCCCCACACCCTGACCCCTAAACCTCTTAATTTATCACAACACCTTCTGTTTAGTTGGATCCGCAACCACAGAAGCTCAAGCTTCAGGGGCTTGGATTTTGTCTAGAGTTCTAGGCTCCCAAACCCGACCCAAAATCCTAAAACTCTGGATGCTCATGCCCTTAAGGGTCCAAGGGACCCAATAGTTAGGTACTCGGTTTTAGAATAGTAGTTATACAGGTCAGGGTTTGGGAGAGCATATCCCTAAACCCCTAGACCCCTAAACACCTTAAACGCTAAACCCTAAGCCGTGAGTATATGATTATTGGGTACTTGGACCCTTTGGGGAAACCCTTTGCTCCTCTAAAATCTGCACAAACCTGTCATGAAGCCAGTGAAATCGGTTGATGATATAAATCCTGCATCACCCATAATAAGGAATATGCCATAATTCCCATAGGTTAGGGTCCTTAAGGTAATGCAGGATTTGTATCATCAACAGAATGCACCCCAAACGTTTCAGCATCCCTGTAAAGCCCTTGTGGCAGCTTTACCGACTTCCCTCAAGCCCATGTAAACTCCTATGGGGCAGGGGCCTGAATGAGTAGTAAGAATTCCCCGTATAGCCTCATCACACATTTATACGAGAATGTTCCCCAAAACTCTAAAACCCTAAACCCTAATTTCTATTGCAGGGAACCAGACCTTGGGCACCCTTGATCCCAAACACCCTCGTTGTGGAACCCATCGAGGAAGACTGAAGCCCTAGAAAGCCCTAGTCCTACTCGATATGGCCCCTATGTTCGGGTTTCAGGGTGCGTATAGGGCTCGATATGGCTAGCAACAGTGTCCTGTATAGCCCATATTACATTTAGCCCCTATCATATTCATAGCAGAATGTACCCGAAAGCTTGATTCGAATCCTCCTTTTCAAGGCCCCAAACCCATAAAGCCCTTACAGGAAGCCTTCAAAGAGCCCTTGTAGGAACCTTTATAGGAATCCTTATAGCAACCACTTTAGGCACCCTCATTACAGGGAACCCTCATGGTAACCGGACAAGAACCTTTATAGGAACCCTGATTATAGTAACCCTAACGGTAGACCTCTATAGACCTTTATGGTATCCCATATAGGAACCATAGGAGCCTTTATAGTAGACCCTCATAATAACCCTTGAGGTAACCCTAAGAGTAGAGCTTTTCAGGATCCAACTTCGAGTTCGGGAGCCCCAAGTGCCCTTGCGTCGGCGTCGCGGGCCTGGACGGAACCACGGAGGTCAAGGTGTCGAAGTGCCAGGGCAGCAAAATGGGCCCGGAAACTCCCAAATAAAGCGTTCGTGCTATGGGTCTGTAGAGCTTTAGGAGTTCATGTGGCCTGTCGTAACGGGCTGCATCGAGGATCAGGCTCTGGAGTGCAGGGCTTGCCTGAACCACCCCATAACCCTATAAACTACCCAGACCTTCCAAAACCCCTTAATTAAGGAATATAGCTTCAATAATATTAGGGATCCTACTATAATTTAAGGTATATCCCTTAATTTTGGGATTTTGGAAGGTCTGGGCACCCCAAAACCCTATATACTAAACCTAGAGCCTCCGGAACCCCGATGCGGTTCCTTTAAAGGGGTTGCCATAAGGGTTACTACGTATCAAGGTGAAATCTAGGGGCCTGAAGAGCTAAGGGTGTAGTATAGGGGCCTGAAGAGCGAGAATAGGGGTCAGGGCATATTATAATATTATACTTATAGCTCAAGTTTGAGATGAGAATAGGGTTTATTTCATATTATGCTGTCATACTTATTGCTCAGTTTCGAGATGAGAATAGGGCTTAGGGCATACTATACTATACTTACAGCCGGATTTTGAGAAGGGTAGGGCCGAGTGGTCTCGAAGTGAAGGATCCATAGCCGCATGTAAGGCTAATGCTCGCAGTGCTTCGTCTCCAACCCCACCTTAAGGGTCATGCAACTCAATATGCGCTGTGTGCTTGGGCCTGTCGAAGTCCGCGCGTCCTAAGCATGATTGAGGTATTTTTTCTTGATTTTGCTATGCCCCCTACCAGGTGACTAATAGGTTTCAGAACGCTTGCGAATGACGTGCCCAAGTATTACAAAAATACCCTGTCTGTCTCGACGGTCCCTATTGAGTTCGGGTGTCACTAGGAAAATAGATCCTTATCACAAAGTGCTGGGCTACCTAGGTATTACTCATTTCAAACACGTTATGGAATCAACAAAACAAGCCTACTATAGCTAGCCTAAAATTGCCAGTGCTATTTTCGCGGTTCCTTGTTATAAGTATAGTATGATGGGCAACACACCCCACTGTTGATGGTATAAATCCTGCATTACCTTCAGGACCCTAGACTATGGGAATTACGGTATATTCCTTATTGTGGGTAATGCAGGATTTATACCATCAACCGTTTTGTTTGTAATTATTAAGGCCGCTATATTATAGAAAGCAAAGGAACATGACGGCAGACTTCCCCGCCGACTTCGGTGCACGCTGCGCTGCGTGGGCGCCTGGGAGAAGAAAGATGACTCCGGCGTTCCGTAACTGTTGCCTATACCATACCACTAGGATGCCCAGTAGTACCCTTATTCCCTTTTTGTAGTCCTAGGCTCCTTATAAAGGTACCCAATACCAAAAAGAGAGGCCTTTTTATTCTTAGGTTACTGGGTATCCTGGGTAACTGTTGCTTATACAATAACCCTATCCCTCCAAGGACCTCATGGTTAGGGCCCTAGACCCCTTAAGGACCCCATAATAAGGTCCCTGGAGGGATAGGGTAAACCTTAGTAAGAGTCCCTCGGTAATGTACGTCCGGTGTGTCCCTTAAATAGCTGAGCAAATTTTGCACCTGAAAGGGACACCTACCAGCAAAAGCAAGAAAACAGAAATCTCCGTCTCTCTCTTTCTCTCCCCGCGCGTTGTTTATCCAACTAGTTGGTTCCTGTTTCTGTCTGTCATTGGGTCGGTCTTTCTGCACCTATGTGGATTTGTGAATGTACGTTCTGCTGCTGAAACGGCCCCTTTGCCTAATGCCCTTGCCCTGAACGGCAGACACTGGGGAACCTATCCCAAAGGGTCCAAAGTAACTATATAGTAGAATGTAGGGTTTCGATGTTAGGAATTACTATTATGATTTGGGGAAGTATTCCCCCATAACAGTACCTATGACCCTTTGGGTAAGCCTGTGCATGTGCAAGCATAAGAGAAAGAGGCCCCGGCAAAACGAACGGATCGACTCCGGTTCCAAAAAAATCTCCCTAAATCGTAGACTCATGAATGGAGTGCACCCTCTTCTTGCCGAATGGGAGTGCCAATAGTAAGGAAGGTGTCCTCTTTAAACAGGGATGTTCATGAATTAGCAGCCTTATACGCGTTTGAGACCCTTTAAGCGCCTCAATAAGTCCTTGAAGCGGGGTCTGCGAGTGAAGTACCCTCCCTGCGCCCTCCAGGTTGCTTCACCCCCAAACCCTCAATGTTAAACCCTTACAAACCTTAGACCCCAAACTGGGCTTTGGAATACCATACGTTAACACTCTTTGCTTAAAGGAACCATTAAAGAAATACAAATTTATACTTTTTTCTCCCTGGTTACTTAAAAATCCCAGCAAAACTAGCCGTCTCGTTCGTAGTAGTCGTAGTAGTCGTAGTGGTAGTAGTAGTAGTAGTAGTAGTAGTAGTAGTAGTAGTAGTAGTAGTAGTAGTAGTAGTAGTAGTAGTAGTAGCGCTTCTCCCGTGGCAAGGACAACAAGCGCAACGGTGCCTACTGCATGCCTGGTCAGGATCCAGGCCTCAGGGTTTCACGAGGCGTCCATACAAGCTGTGTTCTAAAGGAAGTCCGAAACCCTGTATAAGTATATATATATATATACATACGTATGTATATAGATATAGATATAGTCATAAATAAATAAATATATATATATATATAGAGAGAGAGAGAGAGAGAGAGAGAGAGAGACCCTTTTTATGAAGGTCCCTCTCATGATTCGTATCAGGGTTTTTAAGGGCACGATTGCACTGCTCCGGATGCAGGCCTGGACGAAGATTTGGGTCTACTTGTATATAGGCCGTAGTAATACGAAGATGATTTGGGGCTTCGTGCGACATTAGACTATGTTGACGATCAGGATGCCAATAGTACAGGCCGTAATGATACGAATAAATAGGATTTGGAGCTTCGGGTTACATTGGACTATATTGACGATCAGAAAGCCTAGGGAAAGTGTTACTCCTACCATCTCTTGCCGGCAGTATTCCTTGGGGTTCCTAATCTAGTTGTAATAGTACCCTCTTCTAATTATTACGGCCCGTATGTCAGCTTCCTTTTGCTTCTACATGAAGGCTTTGGGGTTTCCAGATTAGGCAGCAACCACAGAGTTGCACCAGGGTGTTATAGGGTCCCGTTGTGAAAGATGGGCCTGAAATCAGTGCATCTTGCCTTGCACAGTTTATTTGCTGTGCTCCGTTTAATTGCGGGGTATTGACCTCTAACCTGATTTTTGTTTTTGGATTTGTCGTCTTTAGGTTTGTCAGCTAGTTTCGAGCTCCGTCCCGTGTCGAAAGGAAGCTCAGACAAGCTGGTTGTTTGCAAATCTTCCACGAGAAGTGGAATAAACCCCTACAGCCCTTGACTTCCTGCACACCGCTAAACCCGAAAACTTTTCTCAGCCATAAACCGTATACGCCCGAAGCCTTTGAAGCCCTCCCAAAGGGTCCTATGTACTGTTATGGGGGGTGCTTCTCTAAGTCATAATGGTAATTCCTAACATGGAAACCCTACATTCTACTATATCGGTACATCCCTAAACCCTAAACCCTAAACCCCAAACCCTAAACCGGACCCTTTGGGCCTAAACCTCAAGCAGAAGTGAGTCAGAAGTCCCCTCTGGACCAGGCGCGGACAAAGGATGGTCCGACGCTCAGTCGGTCTCCCATGGTCCCTGCCATGAATCCTTTAAGGGTCCTATAGGGGATCCTGAGGGAGTCCTGAATGAAGTCCGTGGAGTTTAGGGTTTAGGGTTTAGGGTCTAGGGTTTAGGGTTTAGGGTTTAGGGTTTAGCTATTCTGGGCCTCCAGACCCTCTGATCAACAAACACGAGTTCATCCGTTTCTAGTCTTGTTGTCCCTAGTAGGCTTATTGCCAAAAGGTGTGCCCAAAGACCTAATCCGACATGACTTGGTTTGAAAAGCCTTGCCTTTGTAGTCGGACAAATAGCCGAAAACTTTGTGTGGGTCTCGATAGTATAAGAAGCCTGACTTTATTTTGTATTGTATTACAACCTTATATAATTAAAGCTAAAGGCCCTGTATGGGGCCCAAGTCCCAGTGAAACTCTCTGACAATACCTTTCGGGAGTCGCTAAGCGGTTTAGGGTCTGGGCTTGTTGGGGAAGGGGGGGCGAGCGCTGGATGCATTGAACTCTGAACCTAAAGCCCCTAAAACCCAAGCACAACTAGGATGCCCAGTAGTACCCTGATTCCCTTCTTGTAGTCCTAGGTTCCTTATAAAGTTACCCAATACCAAAAAGAGAGGCCTTTTTTAATCTTAGGTTGCTGGGTATCCTAGACAAACCGAGGTGCGCGGAGCCCTACTGCTTCGTCGACCCATGCAACTGTGACCTCGACGTGCCTCCAACGCTGGCAAACAGCTGCTGGGCTGCTTAGGGGCTCAAGGTCGTTTCAGAGTTCTACCCAGGCCTTCCGAAATCCCTTAATTAAGGAATATACCTTACATTAGATATTAGGGACCCTACTATAATTTAAGGTATAACCCTTAATTAAGGGATGTTGGAAGGTCTGGGTCGTTTCAGAGTTCTACCTATGAGGGCTCCGTGAAGCTCCTCGAAGGGATCTGTACAGGTTAAGGCATTGAAGGATTCAGGCTGATGGCTTACTGATGGTTGAAGTTTTAGGGTTTAGCAGGTCAAATTTAAGGTGCCAAGGCGTAGAGCTTCAGGACTGGGGGTTTAAGGTTTATACGCTTTGGGTTTCGGGTAGAGAAAATGTTCAAGCTTGGCAAGGTTTATTCAGGGGTTAAACGTCTCTGACCCCGAAAGAGCCAGAAAGTAGGCCGCGCCAATAATCCTGATCTCCTTGCAAGAAGTGCGGGTTACCCAGGGCGTAGTTTGATTTGGATTGCGGACGCAGAGAGTCCTAGGTACTGTCATGGGGGATAGTCCCCATTATAGAAACCCCTACATTCTACTATACAGGTACTTTGGATCCTTTGGGTGATTGTATGTCTTAGTATCTAGGGATGGGGACACTAGAAGTTTCGGATCCTGGGGAGAGGGATTCAACTAGGCAACTTTAGGGAAGCCCAGGGAAGCTTCTGGAAGAGAATTGGCGTTACGTGCTTTCCCTCCGTGGATCCTTCTCCGTTAAGGCCTCGTAAGACTAAACGCTAATCCGCTAATATACCCAGAGACTCCAATATCCTTTAATTGAGGAATATACCTTAAATCATATTAGGGATCCTACTGTAATTTCAGGTCTATTCCTCAATAAAGGGATATTGGAGTCTCTGGGCAGGGGCCTTAAAAAACAATCAGAATCAGGTTTGGGGCCCAGACACCAAAATACTGTTGGTGATATTCCTGCATTACCCTAAGGATCCTAAACTATGGGAATTATGGTATATACCTTATTGTGGGTAATGCAGGATGTATATCATCAACCGTAGTATTGGTAATTATTCAGCCCCTATAGTTGGTACGGCCCCCACTCAGTAATAGTTGAATATTAATATTAATAATACAGATCTTTCTTAGGACATCAATTCTAGCCCTAGAATCTTACTGTATGGGAGCAGTACCTAACCCCTATAAACCTTAAACCCTAAACTCTAAACCCTAAACCCTAAACCTTAGCCGTCCTATCGTATAGGATGCAAACAACGGCTCCCTCAATTCGTCTGCCGATCGTCTCCTGGAATCGTCCTCTTCGCTGCTCTTCGAAAGCCGTTTTGGGGTTTGTCGTTGTAGAGTTTGGGGTTTGTGGTTGTGAAGTTTAGGGTTTATGTTTGTAGAATATCATCAGTCTGTCAGGTTCAGAAATTCTTGAAGGTTTTGGGTCTTTCGTCTCCTCTCTGTTTGTTGGGCTCTTGACGAAACCCGGCGCCCAGAGAGCCCTATGAGTTCTAATTGAAGGTTCACCTTTCCGATTCCTGTCATGATTTTGATGACCGGAATGCATGTATATAACAAGTTGCGTGATTGCTTTCGAGTGACCCCTTCATTTAAGTTCTCCTATCCCGCTAAGCTTACAGTTTCAGTTTGTCGGGTTTGGTGGCAGGGCTCCGGGCTTCAGATTTGAGTGTCTGGGACCTCGCAGCCGCAGAAGACCCAGACCTTCCAAAATCCCTTAATTAAGGAATATACCTTAAATTATAATAGTGTCCCTAATATGATTTAAGGTATATTCCTTAATTAAGGGGTTTTGGGACCGAGGCTACTTGCCGGATGCCAGTTACCAGGGCAAGGGTCTCTGGTACTCCTACGTCACCTGCGGAGGCCACTGGAATCACAACTGGCTTTACGAGGGTTGCACATGGGTACTTGTCAAAATTAGGGTCCCTTTTTGGGTACCCTAAAGATTAGGTGCCGTACTATAATAGGGATGCCAAAAGGGACCCCAAAAGGCACCCTAATATTGACAACCACCCAGATCACAATTTTTGAGCCCGCATTAACCTGGCATTAACCTGTAAAGCCAAATGCAGTTGATTTTCTGGGGGGGGGGGGGGGTTGACGAATCAAGCTTTGTGAAAGGCATTGAGTGGGGCAAGAGAAGTATACGGCAGAAGGCTCCGATATCCGTGAATCGCGTTGTAGGTTCCCGGTTGCCTCTCGGGCAAGTTTTGTCCCAACTAAGGTTGAGGATGGTTAGCTGTTTCAAGTGATGGGTTCTTAGGGCGATGCATATATGGATGGCATTGGTCTGCATTTGACAGGGTTTTTGTCAACACAGGTCTTGAAACGGATGCTTAGCTTCCGGGCAACCCTACTCCCAAAGCCTAAACCCTAAACCCTATACGTTCCTACTGTGCAGCGGGTGAGCTCCAACCAAGGCAAAGGTTTGAAATCGCTCTTCAATACCTTCAGCATTCTTCTGAATTAGTTTGCATGGCTTCATCTATGCCGCTTCAAAACCCTCCAACCCTCTTCAATACCCTAGACCCCAGGCTCCTAAACCCTAAACCCTAAAGGAAGGGCTCTCTTCTTAAAGCCGAGGCAAGGACTATTGGATGGATGCTGAGACCAAGAAGCAGAAGCAGGTTCCCGCTGCAGCAAGAAGCAAGGCGGTTTAGGGATTATAGGGTTTAGGGCTTACATAGGGTTTAGGGATTAGGGTTTAGGGATTAGGGTTCAGGGTTTATGGATTAGGGTTTAGGGATTAAGGTTTAAAGGGATTACCTTAACCCGGAAGAACCTACATTTTCAAACACTTATACAAGGAAAATATCATAGGGAACCCTAAAACGGTAGGTTGTTCAGGGTTAAGGTAGGGCTTAGGGCCTACATTCCATTTAGGGTTTTCCTTCTCGCCCGACAAAGCCCTTTGCACCAAAATGGTCCAGTTTCAGTGCCAATGCTACGCCTAAACCCCCAAAAGTAGGCAAAATAATGGCCCGAAACCTAAAGAAGGCTATGTTTCTGCATGCTTTTGGGGTCCAGGTACTGCACGGTTCCTTCATTTGGGAGTTTCCGAAAATAGGGGGCCCGAATATAGCACCCTAAATAGTAGGATCCTTTTTTTAAGGACCCCAAAAAAATAAGGTACCTCCTAATATTCGGCAACTCCCAACCCCTATAGAGCCCCTTAAAGGAACCCTTATAGTAGGAACCCTAAGGTACCCCAAATTTTCGGCAACCCCCATTATTTGGGGTTCCAAAAGCTTTTGGAGTCGAAGCTCGTCACAGCTGCGCTTTCGTGCGTCTAGAGCCCAAAGGCCGACAGCCTCCTCTCTTTCTTTAGGGATCTAAGGATTCATATAGGGTTCCTTTAAAGGGATCTATACGGGGTCCTTTAAAGGGATCTATGGGGTTTAGGGATCTAAGGACCCATATCTTGAGGCATTTGGGCCCAAAGACTATATACTAGATAAGGCCTTTGGGCTATTCTGACCCTTAGGGTAAATAAGCCTCCATCCTGACAGTCTGTCTGGTGTGTAGTAGGGAATGAGGGAATGGATCCCTATAGTAGTCCCTAATCCCCAAACATAGTCTCGATAATCCATTCCCTCATTCCCGACTTAGAACCAAACAGCAGTTGCCCTTAGGCTCATATCCTGAGGCTTTTGGGCCCAAAGATCATACTATACTCTGCTTTTGGGCTATTTTGAGCCGTAGGGTTGCAAACACAACCTCGCGCCCACCCCTACAGCGCTAGGACCTACAAAACTACTCGTGGAAGAAGTTGCTTGAACGCAGTCAAAGCGTCTAATGCCACATAGCGCGCTCCGAATGCCACATAAAGCATCTGATAATCCGCTCAATCCTAAACCCTAAGCCCTCAGCCCTGTCTTATCAGGAGGCCAAGGGCATCTGCGAGAAGAAAGTGGAGGAGAAGAAGTGGGGCAAGGAGCATCTGCTGCTCATGTGGTGCTTAGATGTTTATTGAAGGGCTTTTGGGTTCTCATGATTTAGGGTTTATAGGGTTTAGGGTGAGTTCGAACCAGAATCCCAGGATTGCGCACGCGAAGACTCTTTGTGCCATAGCTTGCTGAAAGCATCGAAGTCGATACAGCCAAGCCTTGTGCTCCACAGACCCAAATAGTATATACATTGGCCCCAATGCATATATATATATATATATATATATATATAGGGACTGCTTTAAGGCCAGTGTATACACTATTTCGGTACATGGACCCTTAGGGTTAAGTCCTGAACCGGAAGAAGAGGCCGAGCGAATGGCAACGTTCAAATTCGCAAGCCTCTCTTGCTTGGCCCTTCGTTTTGATGTGCACGTTCGCTCTTCTTGTTGTTATGTGGTAAAAATTAGTACGCAAAAAACTCCGCAAAAATCCGAGTCGCCACTTTGTTTGCCTACCTTCTGAGAGGACCCGACTTCCTTGTTCCAACGAGTTAGGCAGTACCTATAGTCTCCATTGTAGTTCCTTTTTCTTGGTTTAACCAATTTTGTATTAAGGATCCCAAAAGGTAACCCCAAAAAGTAACTACATTGGAGACTATAGGTAGCTCGTGGTTGGTGATTGATGGGAGTCTGTCACGTGAGTTCAGGCTTTCGGGGTTCTGACTTCAGATATTGCCGCTTAAATGCGAGGTTTTGCAATCTTTGGTTCGGTAGAGGGCACTGCATAGGTCAAGAAATGTATGAACAGCAAGATTTCCAGGCCAAGGGTGTCCTCCATGGTTTCACTGAATAAAGGACCGCCAATACAAATCCTTAACATTCATAGGTCCCTTATCACAAAGACGTTCACACAGGTGACTTCGGAATTTCATACGTGAGGTTTTGAACCGGCAGAAGCAGTACAAGCAGAACCGAAATCTGCGCCGCCAGCCCTGGCCCGATGCTCAAGGGTTAGGGTTTATTGCCCAGACCTTCCAAAAGCCCTTAATTAAGGAATATACCTTAAATCATATTAGGGACGCGATTATAATTTAAGGTATATTCCTTAATTAAGGGATTTTGGAAGGTCTGGGGGGTTTATAGGTTTTTGTTGCTTAAGTTCGTATCTGACTATGTGACGCTCAAAGCAAAGCAAGAAGCAAGTACGGGCAGGGTGTAGGTACCCCTAGTAATGTTGTCGTTCTTGGGGTTCTAGCATCGTCTTGTATTTGCTTAACCTCGCAAAGTGCATGCTTTTCCGGCTTGTCGATGAGAACCGAATTCAGGGTTCCCTAAGTCTAAACAATAAAACTAAAGCCCCTTAACTCTCAAGTCATTCGAAGTGAGCAGGAGAAATGCCGCTGCGTGGGCTACGATGGGACTCCGGGCACCGTCAACGTCACCATTGACAAGAAGGAGTTGCTCTACAGCGATTCTCCCAGACTACTTGCGGAATACGGAATATGTCTCAAACCTTAGCCTTCAAAGCGACTGATATTTGGAGACTGCAGGACTATCAACTTGAGGAATATATGTCTCAAGCCTTAGCCTTGAAACGTCAGCTACAGGCCAAACCCCCCAAAAAAACAAGAAGCCCTACAACCCTGACGCCGCCCTCAACCCCAAACCCTAAAACATGCAACAGCCCAAAGTAAAACCCTAAAGCCCCCTGATCGCCCAAACACACCCTACACCAGGGCTTAGGGTGCAGGGTGTAGGGTGTAGGATTGAGGGTTGGGGGTTAAGGATATCATACGAAGAAACTCGAAAAGGGACGTTTCTAAGTTCTAAGGGTCCTGGTAAGACCAACATGTAGCCAAAAGGCTCAAGTACCCTGCGGACACCGGGGCCACTTGCGAGTCCTGGGATGCCAAGAGGCATCCGGATCCCTGGCGAAAGAGCAAATGTGGCTTAGGGTTCGGGGGTTTAGGGTTTCTTCGGGTTTGGGGGGTTCGGGTTTAGTTGCAAAACCCTGGGTTTGAGGTTTTGAGATACTGGACACGCGTCGGCTGCTGCAACAGAGTTTAGGGTTGCAAGGGTTGCAAAGGTTCAGGGTTTAGTGCTGTGGTGGTTGGCAAAATCTTTTGTCAGCAAAGAGAAGGAACATACTGATGTATAAGAACAATACGAAGGTGGAACAGAACGTGATCTACGATAATAACAAGCACTGGTCCTGGCTTAGTGTGTTGGCGATTCGGGTCCTCGGCTGTGTCCAATGGCATTAACGAGCCATACTTGCAAATGATCTTCCAAGTAATATGGAGCTCTGAAGCAGTAGCACGAGATGATTGCAGGGCTGTGAAGAACTAGTCGACTATTGATTCTGCGTGTGGCGAATCAGAATCATAAGATCAAATTACGACCCCGAATCCCCATATTGAACGTCAAGTTTTAGTCCCAGACCACTTCAACATCAGGATTGCGTCGGTGACAAGCCTGCGGACACTTGGCTCAACGTAGCGGCTCTTGTGGTGTTGACGGATTTTGTGGCGTATCGTTTACTACCTATATTCAGGGGATAAGATGCATTACGAACTGTTGATGCTAGTGATGCTTCTATTCTTCTGGCTTAGATGCAAACCCTCACCCCGAAAATGCACATCTCAAGATCCTTCACCGCCGGAACAACCCCAATCCCAAAACGCTAAACCCATGTCTTGCACGGCTTGTCCCGAAACAAAGGCATTGGGAGCAAAAAGCTGTTTAAAAGACAAGCTGCAAAAGAATATTGTCCATTAGCAAAAGGTTTCCATTAAGAAATGACTAATTATAGAATTCATGTCAGAGCTTTCTTTGAAAGTCGGGTGCCGGAGAAGGAGATAGCACAGGGACGATGAAGGCCTGCTGATACTGGTTGTTCAGGCCTGTGTAGTATACCCTCTGCCAAAGGCCGCTCATGGCATGCGCTGCTCTCTGCCCTAGAAACCCCGATTGTTGAATCCGCAAATCCAGGACTGGTGCAAGCAAGAGTGGTGCTACGTTGACCCATGCGAATGCGATTTGGACTGGGGTGGGCGCCAGGGGAGAATGCGTCGTTTTGCGAGAACTGTTGTTGCCTGAAGGGTCTTCGGACCTGAGTGATCAGGCATATGTGAAGAAGCGCATTTTTCAACCGCCACATAGGCTACCTGCGAGCCCACAACAGCGGGCTGAACCCCATGAGAACTGAAGAGCCTGCATCATGTCACGGTGTTTTCTCACTTAGGCTCTCTTCGGGGTCCTTCCTATGAGAGTGACAAGCCCTAAACCTGGAGCCCCAAACGGCACCCTAAGTTCGACAGCTGATGACTTCTGGAGGACGTGCCCCCCAAGACCTCGTCCTACTTGCCGTCCGGCATGGTGACCCCTGGCTCGATTTAGGGTGCCGTTAAGTGATCCTTAAGGGTTCCTTTACGGGATCAATAAGGACAGGCTTTAGGCTTTGGGTGTTGGTTTGCCTTCCTGCTTTCATGAACGCATCGCATAAAGTTGTTTCGTCGTGCTCTTTTTAAATGGAAGAACGGAGTTGTTGATGTAGAGATGCGAATTCTCGACATCAATGGTCAGGACATGTATGTATGCATCGTATGTTTGTTGGTACCTATATATTATGTATGTATGTATGGAGTTATGTATGCATGAAGTTTGTTTATGCAGGTCGGAAACGTTGCATTGATGCATGCAAACTGCCCGAGCAAGCACCCAGAGAACCCAATATTCCTTAATTAAGGAATATACCTTAATTTATAGAGCCCTTAATATTATGGTTTAAGGTACATTCCTTAATTAAGGGGTATTGGGATCTTTGGGCAGGAACGGCAAGCCCGTCTACTTCTCCTACGCCACCTGCGGAACCAGCGACTCTTTCTCGGCGACGAATGAGGAGTCCTGCGTTTTCCAGAAATCCCAGGACAACTGCGCCTAGACATGAAAGAGGAAATCTGTACCCATACCGTCCTAAGTACCTACATAGTCGACATAGCAGAAAGTAGGGCTGCTACATGAAAGGCTTCATGGTTTGTGTAAGTAGGATTCCCTAAGGGTCCATGTATCCATATAGAGATACATGAGCCCCAAAGTACCTATATAGGGACTACATTAAGGCCATTGTATATACTATATCAGTACATGGACCCTTAGGGATTCCGCTTTGGGCTCGATCACAAGGCCTAGCCTGCTGACTATTAGGCCCGTAGTCTGCTAGACGAGAAGGGTTCATCGGAACCCTAAGCCTTAGGCCCCTCGGTTTAGGGCTTAGGGTTTAGGGTTTTAGGGTTTAGGGTTTTAGGGTTTAAATTTAGGGTTTAGGGTTTAGGGTTTTACGGTTTATGGGGCCCCTAACTCTCTAATATAGTTGCTGTCATGTACACCAATACTTAGGATTCCGTGATAGACTTTCATAACGTGTTGTACCAAAAACGAGGCTTATTCCAAATGCAACGGCCCTTAGCTTACAGAACACATCTAGTCCCCCTTCTAGAACCTGTTCAAGGAGCCCGTAAAGAAGCCTCCTTCAAATTAGTAAGGCACCTATCGCAAGCCCTGGAAGGACAGAGCCCTTCAGGAAACCTTATTATCCTGTTCTCACAGCGTTGCAGCCTTGATAAGCCCTACAAGCTACAGTGCAGTTTGGAAGAACCCGTATGGTTCCCTTTCAAGCAACTCTATTCTAACTGTTTTGCGCCGGTGGTCAGCTGAATCTCCGAGCACCAGGCACCAAGCTGGAGAAGTGCGCATGGGATGGCAAGGCCAGATCGATGATGTCGGGGTTTGGGGTTCAGGGTTGTCGGGGTTGGGGGCATAAGGTGGATTAAGGGGGTTGTAGGGTTTCGGGTTTTAGGGCTTACCTTGACCCCAAATAACCTACCTTTTCAGGGACTTAAACTTATATAAGGAAATGATCTTAAGGAACCCACCCCCCAAAAAAAGGTAGGTTTCTTAGGGTTCAGGTAGGGTCTGGTGCAGGGTTTTGAGTAGGATTCACGGTCTGGGACTGAGGCTTGCGCTCGATTTATCTGAAGCTTCCCGTCTCAATGGAAACACACGGGGCTTATCAAGCATGACATCTTCCAGGAAGGCCCAAAGGGTCCTAAGTACCCATATATGAGGAATTACTATCATTTGGGGAAGCATCCCCCATAACAGCACCTAGGACCCTTTGGTAGGGGTTTAAAGGAGCTTGCCTATCGCGGCCCTGGGTCTTTGAGGCACAGAAGCGAGTTTGCATCTCAGGGCTTAGGCCCAGACCTTCCAAAGTCCCTTAATTAAGGAATATACCTTAAATCATATTAGGGACACTATTATAATTTAAGGTATATTCCTTAATTAAGGGATTTTGGAAGGTCTGGGGATGTAAGGGTGTGCGGTTTAGGCTTCAACGGGGCTTGTTGCTTGTTCCAAAACTCATCAAGACGAAGGCTGTAAAGCACTCTGCAAACCCTATACTAATGCACGGTCCTGACGACCGAGGGCTCGTGGTTCACGCCCTCCAGTCTTTTCCTGCTCGTCGTTGAAGCTGTTGAAGCGGAGCAGTAAGGAACAGAGAGCACAGAGGAGATCCGGGCCCTAAGCCTTACCTTTCCCATGGTCTCCATTGTAGTTCCTTTTTGGGGTTACCTTTTAGGATCCTTAATCTACAAGTGGTTAAACCCAAAAAAGGAACTACAATGGAGACTATAGGTAGCCCTACCCCGGAAAGGCGTATCTTGAATTCTGCAGCCCTGAACAAGGCCTGTCTCGGCAAGGACATCGTGAAGACCTGTTCAGCACACAGCGGGGCAGGCAGATCTGTCTCCGGGGAACCGAGAGTTCTACAAGGTAGACCCCCGCCAGATTCAAAGGGATGATCACAGTGATCCTGAGCCATGTTGTTGGTTCGATTTTAGAGGTCTGATTGCGTAGTACGAACATCCCCTACAATCCGTATATAGTCCGGGCACCGACAAGTTACCTTACCGTTACCCTAAACCCCAAACCCTGTGAAGCGAGATGCAGGCGCCATGAAGGCCACTCTCGCTGTGGCTATGACCTTCGCTGCCGCAGTGATGGCGTTTTAGGGAGAGTTCATAATATGCCCCAAGGGTGTTTGAGGCATCAACGTGCCAGCCTAGGATTCTAGACAGATGAGGAGGATCTACCCAGACCTTCCAAGATCCCTTAATTAAGGAATATACCTTAAACTATAATAGTGTCCCTAATATGATTTAAGGTATATTCCTTATGTAAGGGATTTTGGAAGGTCTGGGTAGTTCCGATCCGCAGGAAGGGGTAGGAAAAAGGCATCTGCAGATGGTGCATCCTTGCGTCAGCAGTTGGAGTGCAGGCCGCAGCCGTTTGGCATCATCTTTGCCTTAGAAGGAGGCAGAGAGAGAGATAGAGAGAGAGAGAGAGAGAGGGAGAGATCAAGGGAGAGAGACAGAGAGAGAGAGAGAGAGGGAGAGAGAGAGAGAGAGAGAGCAAGAGAGAGAGAGGGAGGCTCCATGACGAGGATGCGTGCTTTGCTTGTCAGTTAGCACATGATCTATCTGGATCCTCCCGTACGCTGTATTTCATGTTCGGATCTCCTAATGAAGACTGCATGGTAGCTGGGGTACCTAGCGTGTTAACCCTTTTTTAGGATTGAATCTCTTCAAACACATTATCAAACACCTGTGGATAAGCATCTCCTTGCTCCTGTCGACAAAGGCTCAAGTCCAACACTGCGAGGCCAGCACCACATGACTCGCCAAAACGAGATGAGTCAACAGTCTACACAAGCAGCAAAAGTTACAAGAAGGAGGCATCCATGCCACTGGACTACCACATACATACATATATATATATATATATATATCATATGCATACATAGACCTGCATACATCTTTGGGTATGTACGTACACACGTGCATTTACAATATATGCACATCTATGTAAACTATCTATCTGCTTTGAAGTCTATTCCGATGCGTGCCGCCGCATTTCCGTGCGCACGGTCTGCGTCCAGCCAGCCGCAGGCACGGTGTGCAAAGCTTGGAATAAGTGTTCCCGAGCCGGAAGGTAATGTGGGTGTCGGTTTAGGAATATAGGCTCCTTTAATGCGTCGGCTCGGGGGCTAATTCCGAATCTGACAAAAAAAATTGGGGTGAACTAATTAATGCGTTGTTTTTTGGCTGGGGTGATTTTTTGGTGGCGGGGCTGTGCTATTTGCTGATGGTCAATCTTAAGGCAGCCACGACCTGAACCCCCACCCAAACCCCCACCCAACCCTAAAACCCTGGCCCTGAAGCCCGAAAATCTCTTGCAGAATTGTTTCGCTTATTGGGGCGTCAGGAATGAAAATCTGTACTACTACTGTACTACTATTCTACTATACCTTGATTATTGGGGGGGGCTGCTAGGGTGAACCGCCGAATCGGGGATTGGACCCTAGCTCAAAAGAGGCCTCTCCAGTACTAAAGTTTGTATAAAAAATTAAGTTTTGGGTCGAATCTGGACCGAGACCCCCTTTGGAAGGGTTTAGGGCTTAGGGTTTAGGGTTTGTTATAGGGTTTAGGAGTTTAGGATTCGTTAGGGTTTAGGGTTTGTTAAGGTTTAGGGTTCAGGGTTTAGGGTTTCAGGCGCTGGCTTTATGCTTTGCTTATTGGGGGAATGTGCTCACTGGCTTTATGCTTTGCTTATTGGTACTATTTCTGTACTATTACTGTATTACTACTGTACTACTGTGGTACTACTACTGTACTACTAGTGTACTACTGTACTACTATTGTACTACTACTGTACGATTACTGTACTACTATTGTACTACTGTACTGTTATCGTACTACTACTGTACTACTATTGTACTACCACTGTACTATTGTTGTATTACTATTGTACTACTGCACTATTATTGTACTACTACTGTACTACTACTGTACTATTATTGTACTACGGTACTATAATCGTACTACTACTGTACTACTACTGTACTACTATTGTGCTACTATTGTACTACTGTACTATTATTGTACTACTCTGTACTACTATTGTACTACCACTGTACTACTGTTGTATTACTATTGTACTACTGCACTATTATTATACTACTACTGTACTACTACTGTACTACTATTCTACTATACCTTGATTATTGGGGGGGGCTGCTAGGGTGAACCGCCGAATCGGGGATTGGACCCTAGCTCAAAAGAGGCCTCTCCAGTACTAAAGTTTGTATAAAAAATTAAGTTTTGGGTCGAATCTGGACCGACCCCCCTTTGGAAGGGTTTAGGGCTTAGGGTTCAGGGTTTGTTATAGGGTTTAGGAGTGTAGGATTCTTTAGGGTTTAGGGTTCGGGGTTTAAGGTTTCAGGCGCTGGCTTTATGCTTTGCTTATTGGGGGAATGTACTCACTGGCTTTATGCTTTGCTTATTGGTACTATTTCTGTACTATTACTGTATTACTACTGTACTACTGTACTGCTGTGGTACTACTACTGTACTACTAGTGTACTACTATTGTACTACTACTGTACGATTACTGTACTACTATTGTACTACTGTACTGTTATCGTACTACTACTGTACTACTATTGTACTACCACTGTACTATTGTTGTATTACTATTGTACTACTGCACTATTATTGTACTACTACTGTACTACTACTGTACTATTATTGTACTACGGTACTATAATCGTACTACTACTGTACTACTACTGTACTACTATTGTGCTACTATTGTACTACTGTACTATTATTGTACTACTACTGTACTACTATTGTACTACCACTGTACTACTGTTGTATTACTATTGTACTACTGCACTATTATTATACTACTACTGTACTACTACTGTACTACTATTCTACTATACCTTGATTATTGGGGGGGGCTGCTAGGGTGAACCGCCGAATCGGGGATTGGACCCTAGCTCAAAAGAGGCCTCTCCAGTACTAAAGTTTGTATAAAAAATTAAGTTTTGGGTCGAATCTGGACCGACCCCCCTTTGGAAGGGTTTAGGGCTTAGGGTTTAGGGTTTGTTATAGGGTCTAGGAGTTTAGGATTCGTTAGGGTTTAGGGTTCAGGGTTTAGGGTTTCAGGCGCTGGCCCAGACCCCCCGACCCCCGACCGCGCAGTCGCGCAGAACCGCAGACCCTGCACCCAAGCCAGCCCCCAAACCCCGGCACCTCCCAATTCCCTGCCACTCAGACCCCTACCGGTTCCATATTAAATAGAATTTTTTTTTTTGGTCGGGGGGGGGGGGGGGGGACCCCACTATTAAACCGACACCCACATTACATGGGGCAGACAAGCCATTACCACTGTCATGTTCCATGAGTAGTTCGAGGTTTTGACTCCTCATTCATAGGCAGCGGCGGTGAGGCCTAGCTGAGCTGAACATGTAAATGCGCGAATGAAGGAGTTGTGGGGCGAGCTCCTACTGCGAACATGTACTATTCCAGCATGTTTGAAGCGAGGTCAGGGGAGAATCAAAACCTTGAAACCCTAACAATATTATAATCCCCCAAACCTTGAAACCCTAACACTTATAATCCTCCAAACTTTGAAACCCTAACAGTTATAATCCCCCAAACCCTGCACACTGAATCCGCACCGCGCAAGCCCAAATGCCCTGGTCCCCCGCTCTCCAATGACAACCCGCGACCGAAAAACCAAGCCTGCTTGCGTTTGCGGTGGCCTTCCGCACTACCTTAAGCTACCATAACCGACTTTTTTGTAGGTTCCTAGTATATAAACCCCAATATGGAATGTATAGGGACCCTACGTTTTTGTAGGTTTTGGGAGGTTGAGGTATCACCCATGCGGCTGACGAGCCAAGTCCTGCATGGCCTGCCTGAAGTCGTAAAACACGACAATCATGTTCTATTTCCCTAAGGGGCCATGTACGCATATAGTACAAACATTATATAGGTACTTTGGGGCCCATGTCTCTCTGTATGGGTAATTACATGGACCCCTAGGGTTTATTCACTAGTATGGCCAATGCAAGAATGTGTCCACCAACTGCAGCAATAGTCCACGAGCCCCTCTTGTTGGGGCAATCATCCTGCGTGTGTTGAAGGATTCCAGGTCGGTGATACGTAGGTGCAGTGTTGTGGCAGATCGTCAGGTTAAGTTCGCCTTCGCGATCCTTCCGGTTCAGGGCCCTTTCGGGTTTATGGTATATGGCTCAGCTTTTGGGGTTTCGTGTTGTAGGACTTCAAGGATTAGTGTTTCAGGGTTCCGGGTGTTGCGGCAGTACGACGGCGATCAGCATGCAAGGCTGCAAGTGCTGGGATGAAGGAAGGGTCCAAAGTAGTAACTATGTAGTAGTTTCTATGTTAGGAACTACCATTAAGATTTGGGGAAGTATGCCCCATAATAGTATACCTAAGATCGTTAGAGGGAACTGCAACTCCCTTGCGCGAGGGATTCCAGTCATACGCCACCTACCTTCATCCCTCTCGAAGGCCCCCTGACGATTTCTACCCAATCAGCATCGCCTCTCAGTAGCCCTATCATCTCTCCCTTGCTTGATTCGCCTTGGCCTCTGATTGCGATTTTCTGCCGCGAGCTCGACTACAGAGGGGTTTTAGTATCGTGGTATTTGTTTATAGCCAGTGACACCAGAGCAGTAGCATTTGAACAGATGTTGTCGAGGATGCATGTTAAGGCTTTGGTGCGCCCAAATATGTCCGTTTAGGCAAATTGGCGGTTGAATGTCTGTTATTCCCAATGAGCACTGAACACCACACCTCAGGAAATGAGAAATTAAAGACCCAAACCCAACACCTCTGCCCTAGACCCCTACTTCATGTGCCATCGCGGCGGCTTAAGCCTTAAACCCCAAACTCCTCAACCCCTACTCTGCACTTGTGACGTCTGTGTCAGGCCTTCCGGCGGTCTACTGTCCCCTGGCCGCGAGTAAATATGAGCGTGCTGCTTTTGAGGAAGTAGGGGTCCGGGAGAATGAGATTCTGGCGTTTTGAGGGTCGAGCATTTTCTGAGGCTCCTATGGTGTCAACAGTATGGCCGTAAGCACCGACACCCCCTGAACTGCTTAAAAGCGTCATGGGGCCTTTTTCGAGCTTTAAAGAGT